TTCTCTCTCAGTACCCATGTGAATATATATATATATATATAATAGATCTCGTTATTTTGGTATGTGGGTACGAATGAGTCAATGGTTTTTAATGTATGGTGTTGACAAATTTCAAAAACAATCTCTCCTAAAGAGATTTAGGAATCAATCTCACTGGATTTGAGAATTAATTTTGGGAGATTTCTTACCAGATTTAGAGGTGCAAATTATGTAGAGTTTTTCAATTAAAACCAAAACCATCACAGCCGCATAGAATGTTGTTGAAAATTAAATTAAATGTTTTAATTAATTAATTAATTAAAGAAAATATTTAATGGGTTGCAATTGAAAATATTATATTCTGCCATAAATATTAATTATACATTTTTACAAAAGATTAGAAAATGTTACATAAACAAAATGAGATATATTTAACTTCAAAAAATGTATTATGACCTCACACACACACACATATATATATATATATTTGGAGTAAATTAATATGTAGATAAAATTGTATTGGCAGTGGAATCAAGCTGGGCCTAAAATTTTGATAATGCCTAAGCCCAAAAATTAAGGCCATGTAAAGATCCAATAAGCTGGGCTGAACGAAGTAGCTTATTTATAAATTTTGACTTCTCCAAATATTTACATAAAATAAATTCAAAATAATTTTATAATTTTATTGTAATCTATTTTTAATTAGAAAATAATAAAATTACTAACTCAAAATCACGAATTATAATATAAAATTTTACAAGAATTTTATTTTTTTTATTTTAATTACAATTAAATTGGATCGTAATGTTTTTATTTATTTATTTATTTATTATTATTATTATTATTAGGTTTTATGGGAGTGAAATGTTATGGTCATGCCATGAAATGACAACATGTGAGGAATGATGTGGATGTGTAGTAAACGATGATAGAGTTATATCATAATCATGTCGAATTCCAATTGAAACATATACATATACATATACATATACATATACATATATGCTTTCTTGGCATGCGCTCTCCCACAATCTAAAACAGTTTTTGTTGTGTCAACATGTACATATATGTTTGGGTTCCTTTTAGTAGTGACTCCTGCATGCAACTATTACTTAACAAATAAGTTTTTAAATAAAATATCTTATAATAAATAAAAAAAGTATATATTATAAATTTAATTGTAACAAGTATTATTTTATTAATTTATCTCTATATTTATAGAAGGCTTCACTATATATATATATATATTTAATATTTTTTTGTTATATTAATAACATTTATTTATTTATTTATTTTTTTAAAAAAAAGGCTCACAGTGAGGGAACTGTTGGAGGCGATTAAGTTGATAATGTGGGTCTGGAGTGTCCTGCGCACGCGCATGGCTTTTGTTTGTTTCAGAGAAAAAGAAAATGTACGTATCCATATCTATATCTATATCTATATGTTTTACTGTTCAAGGGATGGAAGTGCAATATATAATTGGAGTACAGAAATCCCAGGAGAAGATGGAGGAGGAAGGTAGGGGCTCTTTATCTTATCCTCTACTTCCTATATATATACACTCTTATAGATCTCTCTCTCTCTCTCTCTCTCTATATATATATATATATGTGTGTGTGTATGTATATGTATATCTATATGGTCATGTATATTGGTGTGATGTGCTTTTGCATTTTGTTCACTTAGTATGATGTGTATATATATGTCATAAGAGGAAGTGAGATAGCTTGATAAATCATCATCATGGTAGTCCACTTGGTGACTCATTCAATCTCTAGACTACACCCATTATTCTCTTGTGGGACTTTGTCTTGCACCCCACTATATTCTTTCTTTTTTATTTTTGTTTTTGAAATGCTAGAAAAGTTATTGAATTTCTTAATCACATTTTGAAGAATATAATTGTATGTAAATTTGTTACTAATTAATTAAACCCAATAATATATATATATATATATTGCTGATAATAGAGTTAATTGCGAATTACTGTCACTTTTTTTAAATCCTAAATTAATTTATTATAATAGTTTTTTAATTAAAGAGTGTTTAGGGTTTGAGATACTTTTGATTCGAGAGTATTCTTTTAAGGCTTTTAATTTTTCTTTTTCGTTATTTGGTTAAATATCATTAAATAAAAATAAATAGATGTTTGATAGATTATGTTTTTTTTTTTTTTTTTTCTAAAAAAGTATTGATTTAGAATTGAAAGGGTTTGGTGGTCCAAAAATTACTTAATTTTTCTAGAGATATTATCTCGAACTTATATGTATATTTAACTTCTAATAGAACAAATGTTGAATTTCGTATTTGGGTGGGTGGGTGTGTGAGAAAAAAATTGAAAAAATATCTAATTTGGATTCTTGGCGTTATCCTCTAATTTGATAGTGAAGAAATGATGATTTTGATATTTTTACTTATAGTAAATTACATTTTAACTCTTTTGAAATTAGTAGAGAGTTATTCTTTTAAAGATATTAACATTAATTATAACACGAACGCGATAAAACCATTAAAATTTTAACAATTGTACAATTATATCAATCAAATTGAACATCGTATACATGAGTTGCGAGACTGTTTCTTAAAATTAGAAAATCCAAAATAGTTTTGTAGCCTTCTTATCTACAATTTACTCAATATCACAACCAAAAATATAAAATGGAGGTGAGAATATGGACCTCTCATTGTGTTCACATAATTGAACAAAACTATCCACTATGAAAAGTTGGCTTTCACAAGACCCACAATTATAACCATTAATCCATATTGGTTTCAAGTTATACATTAATATAAGTATTGAATTATTACATATCATATCTAAAGGAGCCAAACAACATATTTCCTAAAATTGATATTCAAACTAATTTGGTTCTCTTTAAACTCGAGCTATAAGAGCCCACACAATAAGAAATTCTAAATATTCTCTTATTTGGACAAAAATATAATTTGATTCTCTGATTAAAATGTATTATATAGTTCTCTTAATTAATTTCTTCATAAGATTATTACAATCGACAATATTAAATGTGAACAAATATCGTTTTTTTTTAAGCATTATAACAAAATTTTAAATGAATTATTATATTTTAATACGTAAGATATTGTACTTAATAAAGATATTAATATAACGTCATATCATGAAAAAGGTAAAAAAAAATATATGGACTTAAATTGTAAAGTTCTCATCTAAAATAAGAACGAAATGAGATAGTAAATTTTTAACTATACAAAAAATTACATCAAATACTTACTAAATTCTAAAAATTAAGTTAAAGTATCGATAACTTAAAAATTAAATAAATAAGATGTATCATTAAATAATAATAGTTTCGGTTATATCTCTCAACTCTGAAAAAGAAAAGTTTGATTCAAATATTATAGAAATGTAGATTACATAATATGAATAAAACAAATCTATATTATCTGTAATAGAACCCATATCAAGATAAAAACTATATACATATATATATGTATATATAGTTTGGATGGGAAGGGTGAAAGTTTTTGGGTATAGAATATTGTAAAAGGTAAAGATTTGGGAGCATTTAAGTGTAAATCATTGGTGGAATGAGTTGAAATAAAGTTGTAAAGATAAGAAAGCAATATGAAAAGATGGTGATTTTGGATTCAAAGATGAACTCCCTGCATGGAAATTGAGGAAACGACAAAAGCTGGACTTCACCTTTCGAACTAATTCTAATCACAACTAGCAACCTAAAATAATATATCCACTTAGTTTATTTATTTTTGTCGATAAGGAGGAAATGCAAGTTGATAAATATGTATATATATGCGTGTGTGTGTGTGTCTGTGTAAGGGTATTGTAATAAAGTGCATGGGCATGGGCGTGAGCGTGAATATATACATATATATATATATATATATATAGGTAGGCTAAGTCCGATTTTATTAATCTGTCAAAGCTAACATTTAAGTGGCAAGCACGATATACATATATATTATCAACCTACCCTCTTTGTGTGTTACATTCTCTGTCGGCAAGTAAAAAAGAGTTTTTCATCTTCGTACAAAATAAATCCAACAAATAAATATAAATATATACTTACCCAATTAAATTAACCAGCAAATTTCTTTTGAGTTAATAAGAACCTGCAAATGTCGAAAAAACTTTTCTTAACAGTGTTGGGATAAAAAGTTTTGATGATTAGTGAAAGCAGACAGTTGACTCAATCGGAGATTAAAAAAAAAAAAAAAAAAGAGTTCAAATATAATATATATATATATATATATACATACAATATCATAATATATATACATATGTAGGTACTTTAAGGATATGTTTCCTTCATGTGGTCACCAGCTAAATCTTGAAGGTCACATCAATATTAGCAATCTTTTTTCTTTTCCCTTCATTTTTTTAATAATTTCAGAAACATTTTTCCACTGTTGACTTCTATATATATATATATATATATGTATGTATGTATTGTACGTATACACGCGTATATACGCACACATAATTTGGCACAGGATAGAGATCTAACCCCAGAAGCAGATACAATAATCAAAATTATAATTCTTCTCCAATTTGATCCAAAGCAGATACTCCACTAGAATATACTAAACTACCAACAATAATGAGTTTAGTTCGTATCAAAATGAAAAATCGATGGGATAAAATCTTTCGAACTCCTAAAGCTAATACTTTAATTCTTGAAACTTAATTAGAACATGAAATAACATAGTTTTAAAATATGTGGTCTTTGTAATGTTCTTGGACGAAAATTTAAAATGAATCAATTACATTTGAAGAATTTGTCAACTTAATTGTACTTTCAAGACACTTAATGTTATTGAGACAAACCCGAATTAGATAATTAAAGATTAAGAACAATATATATATATATATATATATGTATATGTATATAATAAACCATAAGTACTCTTAAGTAGATTATATTGATAACAAAACTGTTAAATTTACTAAGATTAGAAGTGCATAATGAAATCTGAATCACATTATGCTTACAGTGTCTTTGAAGGATTATCATTATTATAGTTCATACCCAGGAGAAGTCTTTCTTCCAGACAACTTCATCGTTACTGAAATAGAAACCATCTTCTTTCACCAACCATGAGCATTTCTTGAAGAGGCTACATCGATGGCTATCCTCGGGAGCCTTAAACGCATCAAAACTCTTCCTCTTCGAGTCCCATTTCATCGTGCAAAAGTATCGGGTGGTTCCCCAAAAGTTGGTCCTTACTCTCCATCCAAAGTCGTCACCTTCTTGAAGGGCTCGTCCGCCCAAATCACTATCCTGCGATGAACACCAAATCACCAGAGGTAGGGATGAGTTGTTCCTAAAGCCATTGATTACACGAACATCGATCTCCATACCGTAGAACTGCTCAGGCTCAAAGATGGATAAGAAGAAGATGCACAGGCCCAGAAATGATAAAAGCAGAATGGTCGTCAGTGTCTTTGTGCTGTTTCTTTGGTTTGCAAAGGTAGCCATGTTTAGTGATGCGAAAAAAATGTCTACCTCTATCTCACCGCGCTGTTTATCTAAGTGTACATGCACGAAATCTTAAAATCTCATGATCTTATTCCTTAGGTATAGCCAAATTCTCTCTTTAATATCTCATGATCTCATTCCTTATATCTACACAATTGAAATCCACTTATAAAAGTGAATCCGATATGGTGTTTACATATAATGGCAACTCCAACTGGTGTGAGCAAGCAGCCACACACCACCATATATTTTCTATATGATTTAATCATTTGCTTCGACTTTATATATATATATATATATATACATATAGATATTTATCAATTTGTACTTCACACAATCTTTTGATAAAAATATAAATTAAAGCAAGTTAAGCTGACCTGCCTCTTCCAACTTTGACTACTTGATGCGAGTTTAGATGGAGCCTACCGCCTTAAATAAGAAAATTGTTAGATACAATATAATATGACTGATTATAATTACCATTTTACACCATGTGACAACCCCTTCCTGAAACATATAATTTACATTTCATTATTATTAACACCTGACTCAATCTCAAAACCAATAAGAACTGTCACCGGACTTTATAAGAAGCAGGATGAGATGTTAAAATTTGACATTTATAAAAAAAACAATGACTCTGTGTCTAGACTCATCCCTTCTCTTATATCTATCCAACAGAGCAGACCCAACAAAACCTCTTATCATTTTTAAAAGGATTTCTTTTCTCCCATAAAAATCCAAATGAGACTTCTGATCACCACCACCGTATCTGGGATATGCTTCTGTGTATCAACACGAAGCTAAATTCCAAAATTAAAATAACCAGATACGAACAAATGAAAGTGTAACTCGTTTTTTGGAAATAAACTAAATAGCAAATAGCACTTGCCAACTCATTATCAATGTCGACTACGATTTCATTGAATAACAATGAATTATCAATAATCCAACAGTAACTCCCTTTCATTCCTATCTCCTCTGTTCTTTGTTCACTCTTGGTTCTCCCCTAACCCTCAATTTCTCCACTGATTTTCCTTTCTCCTTCTCTGCTCTTCTCTCGCCTTCCTCAAGGCAAGGAGACTTAAACCCGAATCTGCTCTAACCTTCTTTTCCTTTTTCCTATAGTCTCTCTCCCTCTCCCTTTTTATTTCTTCACTCGACCTCCCTCTTCCCTGACTTTCTGCTCTTCTCCCTCAGAACCCTTTCTTTCAAGCGTCCTCGCTTCTCTGCTCTGTCGGCCGCCCTACCATCCTTCCCCATGCCCTGCCGCTGCCGTCTCCCGCTGTTTCTCTCTCTCTTGAAACTGACGTCAGGAGAAAATAATATCTTCCAAAACGATGTCGTTTCAGGAACATAAGGAAGTGGATGCTCGCTTGGGCTTGAATTATTTGTTGCCTTGGGCTTCATGGATTGAACGAAACAAAAAAAAAAAAGAAAAGAAACTCGTGGGCTGAGAAGGGTATAATCTTGGGCTGTATTTGAATCTGATTTGGGTTTGACTTTAAAGTAATTTGGGCTTTTTGCTGGTCGAAGTTTTCATTTGGGTTTAAGAAAAGTCAAGTTTCAAAATTTTCGTGATGAGTTGGGTAAAATTTTAAATAAATAAATAAAATAGGTGGGTTCTTCTATACATGCCACTAGAGATAAAAGGGCAAGATTTACAAACTGAGATATACTAGTAGTAATATATAATGGTAGTAGTGATATTTCTTTTGTTCTCAAAATTTGTTTAAAACTAATGAACAATTTGACTATTATTATTGCTGTTTTCATTACAATTTGCTATCATCTTTCACTAGCATTTTTTTATAAACTTTCTTTTCACTATTATTTGTTATTATTCGATAGTATTAATTATTGTTTTTTGAACAGTTGTTTAGTGTCAGTTCACATGATGTTAAAGTTAATTATAATTCAAGATAATTCTTACCCTACATGTCATAGCGATAGCAGAACTATTCTCCATGTCATTTAAATAGATTTTGCTTTGACTTAGTTGATGATATTTTCTTTTCTCTTACTTTTTGACAGGTGGATTCTTCAAAACATGGGGACGGAGACGCGCTCACATGGTGTCACCAGTTGGGAAGGTCGTCCTCGTGACTGTGGCCTGGTTAGTTTGGAAATCTAGAAATATGTTTATCTACAAAGATGAGGATGACTATATTGCCCCTTCCAGCATAATGATTCTTAAGCCTGCATTGGAATTTCAAATGGCTCACGCCATACACCATCCAAAACCCTGTTATCTATCTAGTCATGCCGTCAACATCTTGCACAACTGGCCTTCACGCAAAGTAACATTCCCATCATGTCAGTGGTTGCAAATAGCATCTCTCTACAACTGCATTCAGCCATCCTCATAATCAAATTGATGAGTTTAGGAGAACTGCTCAAAACCTAGTTATTAAGGTTGGAAACCCCAAACTCATACATCTCACAACGAAGTTATACACCTTCAGTGTGAAATACAAGTCTTCATATTTTGCAATTAGCACACTGTAATCTTGACACCATGCAGACTGGCTTTTCACTAACTGTCTTGAACTAGTCCTGGGCAAACGGCCACGGGGGCTGGTTTTACACAATCTCTCTTTAACTAGTCTCAGACAAACAAAAGGAGCTATTAAAATATGAATAGCTCAAACTCATAAACTGCACATCAAAGCCACGCGTTTTCTGTGAGACTCAAGTCTCATACCCTTGCAATTAGCATGATTAAAAAATTTTCCCTTGTTATGTGGTAAAGATTAAATTATGCAATGAACTAATCCATATTCAATCTGATCAAAGCACAAGTGTAAGAGAAACAAAGCAGAAAATAGCAATAGATTAAGAGATGAACAAAATCAATTGTTAGTAGTCCGAGATTAATCTAATTCCAAACTTCATATTAGCCTCTGCATACGGGCATCAACGTGTTTGCAAAGAATATAAAACAAGTTTATCCAAAATCTATAATAGTTTGACCTTATTCTAACAATAATTCTACTCAATATATAAGAAAATTAAATTCAACTGCATGGTAAGCAATCCAACAAACAGCAAATTATTTAAATCAATTACTGTTAGGATTCTATTTATTTGATTATCTCTTTCTCTTCACTTATGAAAAGAACGTTCAAGATTGAATGTCAAAATTAGCTATTATCTCACTTATCATAGCAATCAAAACTAGCCATCTGTGTTTCGAAATAAAAGAAAAAACCCTTATCTTTGAGCCAAAAACAAGCCAACGAACATAAAGAGCAAATTACTATACCACTTTGACACTCTGGCAAGTACTAATGATAACACTACAGAAGTCGTGGATTCAGTCTTCCCTCAAGCATCCTCCTCTTAGTGGGATGTATTTCCTTTTCCTTTGCGTCCTGATCTCAAAGCAAGACATGTTAGTTCATTCCAAGACTACATCTGTGACAAACGAATTTTGTTTATGAAATTTGTTTGACAAGATACACTTTCATTACTAAGATATGATAAAATTCTACATAAAACAATAAAAACTAATCTTTTAAAAGAATTTGATAGAAATTGAAATACAATGTTCAACTTTTACTTGAAATATTCAATGAGATTAATTTTTATTTATGCTAATAAACTTTTCATCTTCTCCTAACCAAACTAAGTGTATATTTCAAATGAATTCCAGAAAAATAGTTTATTTTTCCAAACTTACCAAAACGTCTAACATGTCTCTGTACTCCCAGGCCCTAGCTATGAATGGGCAAATTAGCTCTTCAGGTGTTCCACTAGCATTACTTACCATGCCTCTTCATATTTATTATACTTTTATTGATAGGTAATGCTCCAGGTAAACAGCATATAAAGGGATTAACTGCCACATCATGACAACATTCTCTTCCCTCCAACAGAAACAGCATCAACTATATGTAGACATGGCAAAGTACTTCCGTCCCTTGCATATCACTTACAAGAGTCCTGAAAAATCCTCTAGTAATTCCCCTCCCCCCTTTCAGAAACCAAGTTCAATGTAGAATATACTGTGCAACATGCAAAACTGGAACCACTTCACAGAACATCAGGCTAGTTCACTGAAGTAGAACCATAACCAAAAGGAAGGATTACCTCCTGTGCATTTATATTCAGCCCCGCAGCTAAACTCCACTGGAACCTGTACTATTTAAAATCAATATTACCATACCTTAGACGTTTTTGATGCGAACCTCAGCTTAGTGGCTATTAGTTAGGCCTACTAAGTGACTAATCACATCCTCAAGGCAAGAAAACTGGGTCAAGAACTTGTTACGAAGTTCAACACTCTCAAGATGACTTAGTTTCCATTGGGAGAGCCCATCGCTAATAGCCTTCATACCATTTTGGAGCAACTCAACCCCCTTGCTAATTTCATCAGGAAGTTTTCTTCTCTGTTGGATCGATTTCCACCATCAATCTCCATACTTTGACAGTCTTCAACCTCTATACAGCTACTTGAACATTTTTGTAACATTTCTTTGAGAACGAGACCTTCCTTCTGAAGTAACACGAGCTGCTCTGAGCAAGGTGCAACTGAAAGAAGAGCCAGCTCCTTCTCAAGGAATATCTTCAACTCAGCCATGAATCTCTCCTCGTTTGCCTCATTCCCCGATATATGATCATAAGCAAGGGCTGCATCCTGTGGCACAAATCTCCATAGCTGATTACATGTGGTACGGGCACAAAAATATCCAAATGCTGTAACAGCTAAATGAACAAGTAGCCAATGTCTCTCTCTCAAAAGTATGTGATACAACTCCCACACAGCAGAGCTCCTTGGACAACCATCACTTTCCGAGATCTGCATGTGAGAAAGTCCTGCCAAGAAGAGAGCCAGATCTGATTTGCATCCATGCAATTCACTGTAACCTGACACCTGCCCCGAGATAAAAAGACTTTGAAGCCCCAAGATGACATCCTCCATCTCATCAGATAGATAAAGGTGATTAAGATTTGAGATGATGGCTAATATTTCACTCAGAAGCTTATAAAAATGGTCTTTCATTACTTTGGATGGAGGATTTTTTAATTTATGAATTACAGCAACCAAAAACTTCAGGGTCTTCATGTCAATATCAGATACACTGATCTGTCTACAAAGAGAATAATTGCAGGTAGTATCATTAAAAAGTAATGAGAATGATATTTCAGTACGTATTGAGCTAAAATTTAATAGTTGAACTACAAGATCATTCTGGATAGAGGCTTAAAAGGTTCACGATTGTTTTCAGACCAACATTTAGAAAGGTGTATAAAGATCAAAGAAAAATAAAAATAAGAATCTAATTGATATGTTATATATTAAAAAATTTTAATGAAATTATGCAAAAAGCTTTAATAGTTGCCAATTATATATTGTAGTCAATGCTAGGTGCATATGTATGATCAGTATCTCTCAAAATCAATCAAAATACTGTGCAACTGAATAATAGTTCTCATTCTAACTTACAAGCTGTGCAAGGAAGTCGATAGCACATAAATTGGAGCACCAAAATTTCCAAGATCGGAGGAACTTGAACACTTCCCATCAAAATTCTCGATGAAGTTAAGATAATCATTAATGATTCTTTTTGTGGCAATATTTCTCATGTTTTCTGACAGCAAATTTAGTGGAAAACCTTCCAATAGCAAGGCTATGCACATATCTGTTGATGATTGACTTCGGCCATCACCAGCAACACAATTGTAAACAACATCCACTGTGGCTGGAGTACCATAAGTAAGAATCATGCATATAGATCTCACCATTTTTCTGAGAGCAGAACCAGGAGAGAGAACTGATTCTGGTGATATTACAGATTTTAACACTGAGCAAAGTTTAAGAATAATGTCATTCATCATGTTGATCTCAGCATGACGCATCAAAAAGCACCAAAGTTCCATTACAATATCCCAACAAAGAAAATGCGGATGGAAGAAATTCTTGAGCAGGAAACTTTCTAATGCTCCCCAGGCAAGACTTGAAGAGATCACGAGCATAAAGGTTTTTAGAGCAAGCAAAACAGCTGAAAATACTGGCTCCCATACAAATTCCACATTTCTTCCAGAACCACAGAACATAGGAATTTGTGAAACAAGAATACATGAGTAGACCTTTTCATCAGTTAATATGTCCAGAAACCAACCAAGCTTTGTGGCAATTGCTAGTTTCATATCTTCTTCAAACTCAAGAGAATATTGCAAGAAACTATGAAATAATGCAACTCGACCAAGCAACAATACTCTTGTCTCCGTCATGCCCTTCAAACTTGCAGAAAATATTTCACTGCATGAAGGTATCCAGTAAGGATTACTTGAATCTCCTTGTGTCAACCTTGTACAACCTTCATCCACGAACAAACAGTCCAAGATTTCATGTTTCAAGTCTTGCTCCAATTCAACTGAATTTAGCAAAGAGTTAACTAAATCCATGGATGTTTTTTCTAAGAGTTCAGTCATTATTTCACTGGCAATTTTAAAAAGCTTTTCCTGACTAAGTAAAAACTTCAAGAATGAAATCATCAAGACACAGAGTGTTATATCCTTGTATACAAGATATGCTTGCCTTGGGAAAAACATGGATATTTTGACTGCATTTATAAGGTAAAACTTCACCGGAACAAATGTCCTTCTAGCTTCTGTTACAGATATAGTTTCCTTTTCCGAGGACCAAGCCTCAGCTGCATATTGGAGAGATTCATTGACCAGAGAAATTAGGGAAAGGATAATGTCTGCTACTTTTACCTTTGCAGCCAATGCCCACTTCCCGTGCTGAAGCAATGTAACAACACCTTTCCATGAGATATTAAGAATACTAACAAGATTACCACCATCTTTAGCGGCAAGTATTCCCAGCTCACACAATTTCTCTACAGTAATTGCTGTTATGCTTATAACATGATTCCTAATATTTGTCTCTTTACGTTGTCCGTTGCCTTTATCTTTCTCAAGTTCTGCATCACACACGTCCCAATTCACAGCTTGAGAATACTCTTTGCAAAGCCTTATCACAGAATCAATTACTATTTGTGCAGCTTTAAGTGCCTCTTGGCTAAGTGAATCAATTCTCTGTACAGAAAATGACAAATATGCTTAGGAACAGATATCAACTAGATTCCTTAGGTATATGATAAACAATGAAATTAACAACAATTTCAACCCTCATATGGCACAATGTTCCAGTTGAAAAAATAGTAATTATTAGGAGCAAAGACAAAACGTCAGCAAGAACAAAGCCAGGTTTATCATGATTTTAAATTAGTTCAGACTAGGAACAAGCTTGTTAGCATACAAATAATTATAAAAGTTTCTTATTAGATTAAATTTTTGGATAATTGATCACAAAATCAATTATTTTATGGTATCAAAGATAGTGATCTAGTGTACAAAACTCTTGGCTGACCTATTTCTGTCAAAAAATAAGTTTACATCACACATGGTGGGACTATACTTGATCAATGCTTTTAGCCTGGTGTATTTGTGCGTAATGGAGTATATTAGAGCATAAATAATTGACTATATCATTTTTATATCAACTTAAACTATGGGAGTAATAGGCTCAATTGATACTGAAGAAAACTCAAGAAAGTTGGCTAGTTTCACCTTTCCTTTTATTAAACAGATTTAGGTTTCACTCATTTTGTACAATCTGAAGCTAGAGTAAGTCAGCCAGCCTGTCCAACATAAAAGAACATTTTACAACACAGAAGTTAATGAAAGCCTAAAACAAATAAAAACAGTTAATGGTAAAAATGTAAACTCCTTGAATGCTAGCATGATGGTCCAAACAAATTTTCTGACCTAAATGACTAGCTCTCAAAAATTTACACTCAAAATTATTAATTAGAGTATCATATAGAGAATACATATTCTGATGTAAAATAAAAGAATTAAAAAATGACTCTTATGTCACAATGAATCAAAAACTGCAAGGAACAAAGAACCATAGCATCTCATCAAATCCAATGAAATTTCTAGTTCTACTTTATGAATGTCCTTATGTTCACAAAATTGAGCTAATATATAGACAAGCACTTGATTTTTGGGCGAATAAACCCTAATTCAAAGCTTAATTTAAGACTCCACTGGCAAGCAAAAAATGTTCTTTTGGAGGCTAACACTAATAATTTGCAGCTGTAAGTGGCGCAACGTAGAACATTGGTTCTATTCATAAACTCTACACCACGCACAAAAGACCTGACTAGTTATGGACACGACAAAGCAGATTGCTCCAAAAGATTATAGTAAAATGATTATGTCGTGATATTGACACTTAAAAGAACTACCCTCTTTCAGCAAAGAATTTCAATGTGTCAACAAATTCCATACTATTCATAATATATTAATATGACTAGCAATTTTATCATATGGATGGTACATCATATGAAGGATTTGAAAACCCAATACCTTGATTTGTGCTATCGTCTCTTTTGTCAATTTCAACTGTTCCAAGACGAAGTTTTCAACTGTAACCATTAAGGCCTCATCATCACTGGATAGTGAATGTTCATTCATGACTGAAATGCTTGCAACTGAGAAATTTAAGCAATCCAAAAGCAGCTGCCCAAAAAGAAAACGAAAACATGAAAAGAATTAACACAGCATTGTCAATGACAGGGAGGCCTAAATAAAACTCAAGTATTGGCTTAAATTGCAAAAATTACCAAGGAACTACCAGAGATAGCCTTCCTACGTACTAGGCAGTTTACCAAGTTTTTTGAGATGTCAACTCTTTTAGATATGATCTACCTGAAAGAAAACACTGCAATGCTCTTCTTCAGGAGATTCCTCAGTGGACATGGTAGACATCTTTAAATGCTTCGCACACCATAGGCTTGCCTAATAAAAACATAATAATACAATTAAGAAAATTTTAAAAAGATAATCTTTAATAAAAATTTTGAGAAAGAATGCACACCAACATACCCTTGTTCCAAGGCCAACAAACTTTCCTAAACATCCAGAGAGGTCGAAGTCTAGACATTTGGAAGCCACATGCAGTATGGTCTGGTTTAACATACACTGGGATATATCCAAGCACGTGAAGTCTTCCCAAAAGATCCAGCCTTTTGTCAAGGAAAGAAAAATAATGTGTCATATAGATCATTCTGTAGCATATACGATGAATTACATAAAACAACAGGCATTTGCAGACTAACATTTATGATCAGCTGTTTGACAGAGTCTTATGGTGCTTAATTGTTTTATAACAACACATTTAGTCTTTTTACACCCTTCTTCATGGATCCTGTGGTGAGTAAACTCGAGTTCCACTTGGCTGGGTGAAGAGTGATTTGCCATCTAAGGGTGGAAGACTTACTCTCATAAAAAAAAGTTCAATGGCTAACATCCTCATATACTTCATGTCCTTGTCGACTATTCCAGTAAGTGTGCTAAGAAGCTAGAGGCGACCAACTCTAGGTTCCTTCTGGTTGATTCTAAGGAGAAGAGGAGATACTACCTAGCGGCTCGATGTGATGAAGTAACATCTTCAGAGGGGTGGTTTGGATGTGAGATCCTTGGTAGAATTTACTCTTGCACTTCAAGGAAAGTGGCTTCGGGGGTTCATGAGGGAGCAAGATGATTTACAGAGAAAGGTGGTAGCTGCTAAATTTGGGGTAGACAATTCAGGATGATATGCAAAGGAACCTGGGGATCTGTATGGAGTAGGGTTGATCAAGAGAATTGGCTTGGGTAACGAGGACTTTCATTGGTGTGTTAAATGGAGATTTGTGTCAGGGAAACAAGTTAGCTTCTGAAGCGATGAATGGATGGAATGAGGGGCTTTGTACTTGCAGTTTCCATCAATTTTTGCCACAAATCAGAATAACGATATCTCAGCTAGACATCATGGGGTAGGTAGTGGTGTTTGGCTTTTTGGATCTATCAAGGAACTTAAATTATTGGAGGATCAGTGAAGATATGAGTCTTCTCAATCCCTTTTCACATGCAATGATCTCTAGAAGCTCTAAGGATGAACCTATGTGGAGTTTGAACTCCAGTGGTCTCTCTCTATGAAGTCGTTTTACATGCATTTGATCAAGAGAGAGAAAGGGAGTGAGCAGTTCCCAGCAAGACTGATTCGGAAAGTGAAGGCAACTCCAGGCAGTATTTTTTGCTTGGAAAGCAGTATGAGAGCACATTCTTACTTTGGATAAGCTAATAAGGGTAAATCCAAGAGAATGGATGCTATTTGTGCCAAAAAGGTGCAAAGACATGTAACTCCTTCATTGTCTGTTTGCACAACACCTCTGGTCTTTGGCTTACAGCTTGTTGAGATTGAACTATTTTTGCCGACACAATAAGGGAGGAGCTTTGAGCATAGAAAAGCATTCAAAGTGATAAACAATCCATAAGGTTTATCCCTTTGACTACCTTTTGGGCTGCTTGGAAAGAGAAAATAGGAGGGTGTTTCAGAGTACAGAAAATGATTTTTGTACATTTAAAGATTCATGATTCTAGGCCTTCAGTTTTTATTAGAGGTCAGCTTTTGTATTATGGTTGGGATTTTGGGACCTTATAAACATTTTATTAGAGATGTAAATAATTTTGTATATGCTTTGTATTCTCTTGGTGCTTTATGAATATATTATCTTTTTTTCTTCTCATTAAAGAAAAGATATGAAACGAGAACCAATTTGGCTTCCACACTTAATTAACACATTTTGATTATAAAAGCGGGGAGGAGAATAAACGAATTTAATAACTGTTATACAAGGGAGAAAATAATTGATAATTGTTCTCGAGATTGTCAAATATGTGACTTTCTTTGTTATTCATATTTCAGGTGAATGATGGGAGGAAGGAGTGGAGAGAAAAGGCCTACGACCAAAGTCGACATTGAAGCAAATGGAAAGAACAAACACCTTCCCTATTTGGCAAATTGCTTTCTTTTGTAGTCCTACCATTTTAAAAGCTACTCTACTACTGTATAATGGGGCAGTGGCTAGAAGAAATAAGGTAGGGAAGTTGTTTGGAGAGATTGAAGAAAAGAAGAGTCAATAAGCTAGGGTATTGAACTTTTGACTTGTGTAATCAAACTTTTAAAAGGTTTTAATTTTCTTCTTATTCTTGTTTGATTGTATGCTAGACTGATGGAGATTCTAAGTCTAGATAAATGATGCCTAAAATAATTAAAAAGGTACATTATAGAGGCTTAGCGGGTACTAAGTCTAAGGAAAGTAGTTTCTATTGTTCTTTAGCCATTGAAGAAGTTATTGGTTATGGTTGTGCTTTAGCCAAAAGGCATATTTGGAGAATAAAGGTACTGCATCCCAGAATAACAAATCTACGGGAACATTTCGCTAATTAAGAGCTAAAGAACGGCATTCAGGGGGTTTGCCAACTTGTCTTCATGTGACTGCTCCGTAATCTCAAGATGGTGAGTGTATCTGCACAGTTATTTCCTGCTCGACTTGTATGACTAAGGACCAAGTATTCGATACCAGCCATCAAGGTACAACAACCCCTGTGGATGAGCTTCAGTGGATGGTACGTTGAGCAATCCTCTTTGAATAAGTTGATCACTTTGAGGGTATCTGATTAAATGATGATCTTGTTCAGGTTTTTGTGGCCAGGGAAGTATAAGCATGTTTCACAATAAGTTCAATAAGTAAGGCATTTAAAGCGGTAGTTTTAACAGAGTATCCTTCGAGATCTCTCATAATCCAACCATAGCTCATTTGTTTTGAGTTGTTAAGAAAGTAGTATCAGCATTAATCTTGACCCCCAGTTGAGGAAGGGGGACCCAAAGCCGTGTATGAGTCTTCTTCAGATAGGAGTTTGAGTAGTCTTGGCCACTGATTTTTGGAAGAACTAAAAGTCATACCAAGCTTTAGAAATAATAAAATATAACGTAGTTGAGTCACCAGAGAAAATTGCATTTTTCCAAGCTGACCAATTGTGCCAAGATACAAAGATGAACAATGTGGCCAAATGACCTTATCCCTCACTTGATGTGGTGTATGTGCGTGTTATGCTTGAACCAGTTATTACACAGGAGAGAGAAAAAGGTTATGATGAATACCAGGAACAATGAGCTCCCAAACTCTTCTCACATCACTGCAGTCTCTTATGGCATGTATTACATTTTTGGCACCTGAATTGCATAGGCCACAAATATCTTCTTGAGTGCACTAATGATTTTCTCTTAGCTCATCTGTATAAAGTCTATTTTGCACAACAAACCAAAGAAAGAATTTTAGTTTTTTCTGGACATTAATCTTCCACATAAAGCCAATCTCACTCATCCTAAATCAACCATCCTCTTTCTAACAATTTCAAAGTGGATTTACAAGTAGACAATTTGTGCTTCTCAAAACCCAAGTACATTGATCTAGGGTGTCACAATTAACTAGGAGGGGAGTAGTGAACACAATGGCTCACAACTATGATTTGATTCAAGCTAGCAACTACGGTCAGAGAGTACAACTTTAACTCATTATCATGTAAATGAATAATAACCCCTTGCATATGTATAAAAGGTTGGTGCCCCACCCACCAACCATGCCACAAATATCTTCTTGAGTGCACAAGCGACTTTTTCTTAGCACATTTCTGGGAAGTATAGTTTGCAGAACAAGCCAGAGATAGAATTATAGCTTTTGTGAACATTTAATCTTTCGTATGCAGGCCCAGCTCACTCTCACTCCTTCTGAATCAACCATCCTCTTGCTGACTATTCAAAAGCGGATATACAAGTAAACAATATGTTCTTTTCAAGGCCCTAAGTACATTGATTTGAGGTGTCACAATTAGCAGGGAGCTGACTAGCTAACACCAAGGATCAAGTTGTGGTAGGCAACAGCGGTTGGATTTTATCGACCTGCCAACCATGGTCAGGACATATGTCCTTTACTTTCATCTTTTAACTTTTTACTCATTCTCACCTGGATGAATAATAACCCCTTGAGTATGTACAAGAGGTTCGTTCCCCAACCAGTAATCATGCCACAAGGATACATGTTCTCCATTTGATACCCCTTACAGTAGCCAGGCTTTATAAATAGCTTTCGATATCTAGGAGATCGAGTTTTTCATTTAGCCTGTTTTTAGAATGCCATCTTTAGATACTTCTGATTTAGAGCCTTAATCCATGTTGCATTCTCTCTATTGATCAATCTCCATCCTTGTTTGGCAAGTAAACCCAAACTAACATGTCTAGTAGCACGGAGATCAAGATCACCCTTTTCCTTCAGCTTGCAGATGTTGTCCTAGATAACAAGATGGAGCTTCTTATTCTCCCCTTTGCCATGCCAAATAAATCTCCTAATCTACTTGTCAATATTATCACAGATTGAGCAGGATAGACGGATTGTTTGCCTAGTATAGGTCAAAAAAGCGGTCAATACTTATTGGGCTAGAATAACCCTTCCTGCTAACTTCAAAAAATTTTCCTTCTCACCCTCGAGTTTCTTGGACATGTCGGTAGCTATATGGTGGAAGTTGCTCTTGGAGACCCCACTATGAGAATTATACAAGTTATTTTCCAGATTCTCTACCAATTCTATGTTACAAACATCATTGATACCCTTTAACTATCAATAGTCAACCTAGTAGATGTAATTTATTTAAGGACTATATCACTATAAATACTTGTGCTGTTTACCTAAAAGTATTTTATTTTATTGTCAATTTTCATATTGATAAGTTTCAAAGTTTTATATATTGCTCCTGCGTCACTATTCAGCCCCTCCAGGTGCACTATCATTTTGTGCCCACAATGTCTAAACTTACATTATAGGGAAACTATTGTAAATGCACTGGTCTTTTCTTAAGCACATTTCAAATTAATAACATTTTGTTTGATGAGCTCCTACGTCTTATAACCAAATGCTTTATTTAGCCAATACGAAACAAGTATTTTAAGCAGGTTAAAGATAAAATGCCCACATTTATTCACATAAAGAGGTTATAAACTGCATAATTAGTAAAGAAATAATAATTAGTAAGAAGAATGAGGAAGGAAAACATAGTAGACTGGATACTGTTAGGCATTCAACAACAGAAGCCACATCAGATTTATCGGGTAAATCTAAGTTGCCGAGCTCTGTGAGCAATTGAACCCGAGTCTCGACAGCCTGAAAAATTAGACCCCAATTCACGTCACTAATGACAATTTAGCAAAGATAATTATAAGTTGAGAAACAAGTCTACATCCCATATCAAAAGCAAACAAACAATATAAATTTGCATTTGGAGGCCTAACACTTCAAATGTCCTTCAATTTCAATTCTCGGAAATCAAGCAGAGAACCATTACAGCAAAAAAAAAAAAAAAATCTACAGAACTAACAAACAGCGATACACATTTTTGTGTACAAAGACTTATGTGAACAAACATACATAAATTTGGAAAGTCAAAAGTCAAAACATCTTTCTGCAAATAAACAGTTCCTATGGTCCTAGAGTTTGAAAAATAAAAAAATGATGACAGAAAAACGAAACAAATGGAAGCTGAGTGGGTTGAGGAAAACTTAAAAAACGGAGAAGTGAAAACCGAATGCAGAAATCCGAAAGCATAAATGAGAAAAAGAGAAATTGACGCAGACTTCAAAGAAAGCTTACATCTGAAGATTTGATGGCTTCCAGCACGCTCGACAAATCCCTCGCTCGCTCCATCTCTCTCTCTTTCTATCGAATTTTGTTTTGATTTTTGATTTTTGATTTTTGTTATTCTATTTCAAGTTTTCTCTCCGCCGACTTATGAAAGCTTCGCTTTCCCGCCTTTAAGTTTCCCTCCCTGAGCCTGCAACATTTTTGCAGTAATAATAATGAGCAATCTGCCTCATTCCTGAGGCCCTGAGCCTGCAACATTTTTGCAGTAATAATAATGAGCAATCTGCCTCATTCCTGAGGCCCTGAGCCTGCAACATTTTCTTCTCAGTTTGGCCCAAAGAAGAAGAAACTTCTGCATTTTAAAAATGATAATTTTAGGATACAAATACCTTTTTTCCAAACACGAAAAAAAAAAATCTTTTATTTTATGTTTTTAATTACATATTTATGACATAATAAAAACATAAACAATATAATTTTTTAAAAAATACTTGAAATTGTTTCTAATTTTATTTAGTCATTTTCCATCATTTTGTTGAATGTTAACTAATATAATTTTGTAAATAAAAATATATTTATTATATTAATTGTTACGTTATTGTTCAGACTAATATAATTTTATAAAAAAAAATACATTAAACTACAAAATTATTCACAAGATTGAACTTAAATTTCTTGTTACACTACTTTTTATCTATTATCATTTTTTTCACTCTTATCTTCTCGAGTTTTATCATACTAATACATTTTTTTATGAATATAATTTTTTCTATTATTATTTTTTATCTCGAAAAATTAAAAATAAATTTAAATGATCATACTAAACATAGTAACATGTATTATAATAAAGTCACATAACGATGTTGTATTATTTAATAATTCTGCTCACGGATAATTTTATATTTGTTAAAAAATTAAACAAAATAAAATCATAACTAAATAATATTGTGTGAAATTAATAACTAAGATAATATAGTAACATATATGTAGTACTTTTTATTTAATCATTCTCGGGGAAGCGTTTTGTGTAAAGATAATAAGGATATTCATGTTTGACTCGATTATTTTTTTTATGTCACTCATTCTTTTAAATTGTAAAATAAAATTAATAATTTAAAAAAAAAATTAACGCTTAGGACAAATTATTTAAAAATTTACTTTTATTTATTGTAAAAACTAATAATTAACAAGTTCACGGTATTGACTACCTTCCTTGCTAGAATACGAATGTATGATGACATTTATTCCCTCGTTTTTGTTAGTTCATATTTCAAACACTTTAATTTTTATTTTAAATATTTTTATTTTTTTTATATTATTTTAAAATATTTTCATCGTCGTCTCACTTAAACATGATTTAAATTTGAATTTTAAAAGCAAATACAAAATATAAGAAATTAAAGTGAAAAAAAAAAGTAAGATTAAAATGAATTTGATTACATTTAATTACGTCTATGATTGAACAAATCTCTTATTTGTGTATGTAACTCATATCATTATTTATAGTATATCACAAGTTAGATATATGATACATTATTATCTCATTTCATTTTATATTTAGAATTTTTAAAATTAGATAAGTAAATCTTAATGTTTGATTCTACTTTCAATAGTGGGATTTCCAAATTTTTTAACCAGTATTTTTTTTTGGAATTTTTTTTCCTGTGTCACCAGTGTAATATATATATATATATATATATTTACATAGCTAGGTAACCATGGGATTAATTGTATTTATATTTTAGTTAAGTTCAAATTTAGTAACTTTATACTGATACATGTTGATTAAACGTCTGCATGCAAGACCAGCTGACTAGATGGATTATAATTTATTTAAAATTATTTTATGATAATAA